ATATGTCTGTCTTGGAGAGGGTGAAACTAAGTTTCTCCTTGGAGATTAAGATTTTGAAGCTCTGTCTAACATACTTTGGGGACGTGTCCAGGAGTAACCTGTCTTTGGAGAAGGACATCATAGTCAGAAGTGTGGAGGGCTAGCACAGGAGAGGAAGACCCTGGATGAGATGAATTAATAGAGTATCTGGGGCAGTGGGGGTTGGTGTGTCAGAATCAGTGAAGATTGCCTCAGAATAGGGCAGACTTCAGAGCTGCTGTACATAAGGTCACTGTGGGTCACAGGTGATTGGATTGCACATAACAACAGCAACAACATTACCAAAAAAGAGCAGTGTGCAAAAAAATCTATTTGAAGTATACTGTTGGCAGTGGTAACATAATATCCTTATTTGAAAGATCTGTTACTGTTATGCAGATACATGTATCAACTACTAAAGGTGAAGAATATGAAGATTTTAACCAACTTCTGTACTCTGAAATGGACCAGACATGCAATTAAGATGCCTTAATAATTACTGATGATTGGAACATGAAAGTTGGAAGCAAAAAGGATGAATAATTGGAAAACATGAGTTTAGGGATAGAAATGAAGCTGGAGATGATAGGAATTTTGAATGAACTAAAGACTGACTCTTTGCAAATACCTTTTTTTAAAAAAAAAGGCAAACATACACATGTACTTCACTGATGAAATACATAGGGATCAAATCTCTCATGTCTGTGGGAAGAAATGGTAGAGAAGCTCAGTACCATCAGAACAAACACCAGGGCAGATTGCAGACTGTTAATTGCTCATATGAAGTTCAACCTGAAAGAAAATAAAAACAAATCCATGAGAGCCAAAATAAGACCTTGATTATAACGCATCTGGATTTAGAAACTCTCTGAAGAGTAGAGTTGAAATGTTGAATACCAGTAACCAGAGATGACAAGAAATTTTGAGATGATGTGAAGGACAGTATAAGCAGATTTTTCTGAAAGTGTGAGTGGAGATTGAGAAGTTGCCCCCACCCCCAACCCTTCCAGTACCTGGTTATATAGTTTGTTTGCAGGTGACTAAAAAGCGGCAAAATTATTTTAAAATAATAGCTTGGAGAGATAGTCTCTTTAATAGAATTTGAAGCAGTTTGGAGATTCCTTGAAAACAACTTTAGTTATTAGCATGCCTTTGTACATATTGTAACTTTTCTATATTAGCACTTTATTACTGATTTCTGAATTTTGAGACTTTAAATGTGTGTTGTGTCCTGTATATGGCAGAAAAAGTAAACAAAAACTTCCAAAGTTTTTCTGGAATATTTCAGAGTAACTCTCCACTGCTCTGTGTATTCTGTTAGTCAAAACAGATACTTCCCGCCCCCACCTTCCCCAACACCAGTGAAATTGGTCATACGGACATGTATCTCATCTGAAAAACCAATTCATTTCCGCTAATTAAGAGTTAAGTTCTGTTCTCATTCTCATTGCCACCATTTGGAATAGACTTTGCTGTCTGGGCCACTATACTCCTTTGCAGTGTAGTCTTTTGTAGAGTGAGGATAGGAAAGAAACAGATCTCCATAATACAGACAGAGAGGAAAAGTTCTATTTAATTTATTTTTAATTCTGTATTCTTATGTAATAGAAGAGAACTCTGGTGACATAGTGGTAAGAAGCTGTGCTACAAAATATCAAAGGCAAGCAGTTCAAAGTGATTTACTGCCTCTGAAAACCCTCTGGATGGTCGCATATGGGTCAGTTCTGACTCAGTGCCACACAGCATATCATGAAGGACAGTATACATAAAGCAAAATATTATTGAAGACAATCACTTCAGAGTGCAGAAAAGCAATGATGTTAGTCTAGAGACTAAGGTGTGCTTAATCCAGACCATGGTCTTCGCATTTACTTGTTATGCTTCAGAGAGCTGGACAATGACTAAGGATGACAGAACAATTGATGCCTTTGAGTTGTGGAGCTGGAGAAGAGTCTTGAACATACCATGGACTGCCAAGAAAACAAATCGGTGTGTTTTGGAGAGGATGAAACCATCTATCCTAGGAGGCTAGGATTTTGAAGCTCTGTCCCACATACTTTGGCATGTGGCCAGGAGAGACTGGTTCTTGGAGAAGGACATCATGCTTGGAAGGGTCGATGGACAGCACAGGAGAGGAAGACTCCAGATGTAATGGATTGATACAGTAACTGGAGCAATGGGAGTTGGTGTGTCAGAATTAGTGAGACTGGCTCAGGACAGGGAAGGGTTCAGAGCTGCTGTACATAGGGTTGCTATGGTCACAGAAGACTCAGTGGCACATAAAAACAACAACAAAAGGATGTCAGAAGACACTATGAAACTTTTTATTGAACATAGAGAAACTAAAGTGAAAGGAAGAAGTGATGAAATAGAGTTGAAACAGCATGTCAAGGGGCAAAGACAAAGTATTGTAACAAACTGCACAGAGATCTAGAGTCTGAAAACCAGAAGTGAGGAGCGTGCTTGGCATTTCTCAAAATGAAAAATCTGGACAAATTTAAACTTCACTTTGCAATATTGAAGGATTCTATGGGCAGAATCTTGAGTGACGCACAAAGCATCAAAAGAAAGTGGAAAGAATACACAGTCATTGTACCAAAAAGAATTGGATGACACCAGAACATTTCAGGAAGGAGCATATTTCTGAGAAAGAACCAGTGGTACTGAAAATGTCCAAGCTGCACTGCAGGTATTGGCATCAAAGAAGACTCTAGGAGTTGATAGAATACAAATTGAGGTATTTCAAGAATGTGCTTACTGGTCTATACCAAGAAACTTGTAAGCAATCTGTGTTTACGTGCATTCCTAAAATTGATCTCACGGAATGCAGAAGTTATCAAACAACATCATTAATATTACATGCAAGTAAAATCTTGCTGAAGATTATTTAGAAACAGCTGCAACAGTACATTGACACGGAATTGCCAGAAATTCAAGCCAGTGAGGAAGATGTGTAGAGACATCATTGTTGATGTCAGATCCTGGCCAAAAATAAAAAATACCAGAAAAAATGTTTCGCTATGTTTTATAAATATGTAAAACCATTGGACTGTGTGAATCAGAATAAATTAGAGCTAACCTTAAAAAAAATAGCTACGATACTTATTTGTCCTCATATGGGACCTATTGACAGATCAAGAAACAGTCATTCAAGCAGAACAAAAGGCTACTGCATGGTTTAAAATCAGGAAAGGTTTGTGTCAGGGTTGTTCCTGAGATTCATTGGGCCTCCATTCCAACATTCAGAATCCCATTTTTTCCTAATCATTACCCCCACTTTAACAGCAGTCACCCCGCAAAGTTGGAAATTTAATTTGCTTTACAATCTAGCCACTGACAAGATGTAATTTTGAGTTTGTTTTTGATCAGTCTTAACTCTGGCTCTATGAGATAATAATGTCTTTATTTTATTTATTATTTTGTGTGTGTGTGTGTCCCGTCAAGTCAGGTCCATCTGGCACAGGATGAGACTGCCCATCCTTCTCCAACAAAGCATCAGGGGGATTCGAGCCTCACGCCTTCGGGATTGCAGCACAGATTGATTTATTTTAGATAGAAACATTTATGTCATTTTGTGTGCATTGTAGCTGGGAATATGAAACACTGAATTTATCATTTTTATTCTTCATTTTATCTAATACAATTTAGAAACAACCCATTTGGACTCAGTTGGACTTATTAACTTGATATAAATGTTCTAGAGTACCAAATATGTAGTAACTCAGAACATTATCTCATCTTATTTTCTTGCTGCTATGTGTCATCAGATTGAGATCAACTCATAACAGACCCTCCGGTAGGTTTTGAGAGGTTGTATGTAATTTCATGAGAGGAGATTGTGTATCTTTCTCCCATGAAGCAGCTGGTCGATTAGAGTTGGCATTGCAGCCTCCTACAACTTGACCACTGCAGCTCCTCTTTTATTTGTTTAGTAGTGTTTAGTGATGATATTTTTTGTTTGTTTGTTTGTTTTTCTTGCTACATAACACCATGAAGTAACAGTACCTCTAATCAACTATGAGAACCTCTTCTAAAAACCTCAGAACTAGTTTAGAAAACTTATCTTAAACATTCTGTTCTTCTAGAATAACATGGAATAAAAAATCTGTTTTAGGGTTCTAGAGAGAAACAGAATCAGTAACATACACATACATTGAGGACTTTAACTTAAGGAATAGACATCGTTGTTGGGACTGGAGAGTATAAAAATTGATAGAGTAAATTGGTGCAGGTCATGTACTGGAAACTCATGTAGGAGTTGATACTGCAATCTTTAGGCAGAATTTCTTCTCAGAAATTTTGGATTCTTCTCTGTAGGCCTTTTACCTGAATGAATGAGGCCCACTCAGACTGCTGCTAATTTTACTTAAAGTCAAGTAATTGTAGATCTTAGTCACATCTATAAAAGACCTTCACAGTGGTACCTGCTTTGCAAGGATCAGGAAATTAATTTAAAGCACCTCACACAAAGATTATTAGGTGTTGGAGTAATTTTTGACATATAACTCTACCTTGTGTACAACAGAATGATGTATTCCTTACCATCACTCATAGAAGGCACTGTGTAATAATACATTATTCCATTTATTCCTTTTAACGTCTCTGTAATCTGATCAACAAATTAAATGATATATAACTAATTATATAAAGAATTCAGCATTTTCACCTGGGCAGTTTGGAGATCATGCTCTGACACCCACATGTCATTAGTATGATATCACTAGAGCAGGATTTCTAAGTTTAGCACTATTAACATTTTGTGCCACATAATTCTTTATTGATGGGACTGCTGTTTGCCATGTAGGATACTTAGTAATATAGTCCTTGTGAATTATTGGGAACTATTTTTTTTAAGGTATAATTTGGCTTAAACATTTAAGTTTTTACCACTTTGGTTTGTCTTTCTACCATTTCTTCTAGTTAATATTTTATAAAGTGGTTAAAAAAAGTCAAATTATATTGTTTTTAAAAATTTCTTTTAGGTTGCCGAGGAGCGCAAGTAGAAGAAATATGGAGTTTGGAGCCTGAGAATTTTGAAAAGTTAAAGTAAGTATAATTTTAGTGTATTTTAAAAATGCCCATTTTAGCAAACTTAAGACCATCCTTGTCTGCTTATTTAACTTGCATTGCTCTAAGTTCAACATAGTATCTTCTTTAGATCTTTGTTCATTCCTATATGTATTTTTTTTATGACCAAGGACCTGAAACTTTTAAATGAGTAATTTTGAAAGGATTCTATGACTTGGGTATTCACAAAATACCAGTTGATTGATCTTGTTTTCCCTCCACTAAATACTGCAAATGAGCAGTACTGGAATATACTTCAATATAAATAATGACAGTTTTCAAAATAAATATTATTAATTCATCTAAAGACCTACAGAGCACAACCTAAAGTTTCTTCATCATGATAAGATGGAGAACAGATTGAAATTATCAATGATTTCATCTTACTGGGATCTGTAATCAACACTTTTTGTACCAGCAATCAGGATATCAGGAGACAAATTGCATTGGGAAACTGCTGTCAGGGACTTCTCCAAATTACTGAGGAGCAATCATGTCATTTGGAGACTAGAGTGCACCTGAATCAGGCCATGGTCTTTTCAGTCACTTGCTATGCATCTGATAATTGGACAATGAATAAGAATAATGGAATATCAATTGATGCCTTTGAGTTGTGTTGTTGAAGAAGAGCACTGAATATCCCTTGGACTGCTAAAAGAACAAAGAGATTGGAAATCTGTTTTTGGAAATGTCTTGGAAAAAGTGCAGCCAGAATATTCCTTGGCTGCAAGGATGGTAAAGCTTCTTCATATTGTACTTTGGGCATGTTGTTATGAGAGGCTTTTCTTGAAAAGGTACATTATACTAGGAAAGGTGGCTGGTCAGCTAAAGAGAGGAAGACCCTCAATAAGATAAATTGACACAGTGTCTGCAGCAATGGCCTCAATTGTGATGAGAAAGGCACAGGATAGGAAAGGGTTCAGATCTATTATTAGGATCACTAGGAGTTGCAGTTGACTGGACAGCACCTAAAAACAACAATAAAGTATATTTCATAGATAATGTGAGCTAGTCGTAATAGAGGTTTCCTGTACATTACTATATTGGGGTTTTGTTCTGTTTTGTGTTTTTTTTTTTTTTTTGTTGTTGTTGTTTGTTTGTTTTTGGGAAATGTGGTTACTAGGACATATCTTTTTCTGTCATCTTTCTGACCCTATTTGCCTGTTTGAGCTTCTTTATTATATCCACACCTTCCTCTTCTCCTCTTCCTTGACCTTATATAATCTGTGTATTTTCAGGATGAATGCTAATGGAGTTTTCATTGATGAGAAAGTATACTGTTTTAAGTAATAATTTAATGAATAGAAAATTTATTTACAGATCATTAATAGTCTATGCTTTTATGGCATATTCCATAGGGAGTTGTGTTGTTCACCAATGGCCATACCTCTTTGTTGGTTTGAATTCATCATTAGTTCTGAAGAAAAAAAGAAAAAAGTCTACTCTTTGACAATTTATAGGGTCAGAAATCTATTGAAGGATCACCTCTGGGTTGATTCTCACTCAGTATCATTTGATTTGGGCATTAACCTTTCTCATCTCCACAAAAAGTCACTTTACTTTAGATAGAATAAGAGATTCTGACTGAGTGATCAAGAAAGGTTAAGTAAAGATTCATCATATGAATTGTTTGCTAAAAAGATAAAAAAGATGTCTACTAAATGGAATTGTGAAAGACTTGTTACATAGCGACCCTATGTAAAATAGCTCTGAATGTTGCTCTATCCTGAGCCAGTCTCTTGGTCTCTGGCAAACCTACCCTCATTAACCACCTTATTATGTCATTCCGTCTAATCTGGGGGTCTTCTCCTTCTCATGCCTTTTCAAGCATGATGTCCTTCTCTAAGAATGTGTCCCTCCTGGCCACATGCCCAAAGTATGTGAGACAGAGCTTCAGAATCCTTGCCTCCAAGGAGCAGCCTGATTTTTACCCTCTCCAGGATAGATCTGTTTGTTCTCTTGGCAGTCCATGATATGTTCAGTACTCTTCAGCACCACAACTGAAAGGCATCGATTCTTTCTCTGTCATCCTTAGTCATTGTCTTGCTCTCTGAAGCAAGTAATTGCAAAGACCATGGCCTGGATCAGGTGGACCTTAATCTCTAGGCTGACATTGTTGCAGAGACAGTGATTTAATGTAAAGTAGTGATTTAATGTATTATAGACAATACAAACTGCATTAAGGACTTAATTTCCTATGAAATGAAAATATCCATTCATACTTTAACTTGAAGATTGTTCATAAATCCAGTGATAGTATATGAAAGTGATTCCTTGTATTTAAAATTATATATACTGTCAGACATTTATCTGTATCTTCCATGTAAAATTTGAATAAACAAACTTTATTAAAATACAAAGATTTTAATCTAGGATTAAAAAGGTCATGGTTTTGTTTTTATTATGTAAGATGATGTAATTTAGAAATAATCTACTAGACCTTTTATTTTAATTCTATATTAACTGATAGATTTTAAGTGTTATTAACCTTTGTACAAGCATGTTCTAGTGACTAAATAACAGTAGTTGTTTTTAAAATTTTCTTATTTAAATTCATTTACTTAATTTGTCATAATTTGTGTTAAGTAAACTGACTAAAATTTAATATATTGACAGTGTATAATGGAAGAAGCAGATTTTGGTTCCATTAACTTGTATTTTATCTTGTAGGCCAGTTCATGGGTTAATTTTTCTTTTCAAGTGGCAGCCAGGAGAAGAACCAGCAGGCTCTGTGGTTCAGGACTCCAGACTTGATACAATATTTTTTGCCAAGCAGGTATGGTCCCAGATACTTTGAAAAGTCTCCAAAGCATCACTTTTATAGGACTCTTTTCTACCTATATCCCTCTAGTATAGCAGTTTCACACTTGATCTCAGAACTCCCTCTTCAAAATGACCAAGATTCTCAAATATGATTGATATGGATTATATATATCCATTGATATTTACCATATTATTCACTGAAATAAAAAAATGTGACAAATATTTTTGTATGTGCCATCCAGTCGACTATGACTCATGTTTTGATTGCCTTCGAGTCGAGCAAGACCATAGTGACCCTATGAACAAAAGGCCTGAAGCTCCTCTACAACTATTGACATAGTAACGCTGAATAAACAGATGTGAACCTTGCCTTCTCCTTTATCCTCCCTTATCCTCACCATCTCAGATACATTTTAGCCTGCTGCTACAAAAACGGTGTCAATCCATCTTGTTTAGTGTCTGTCTTTCTCTGATCCTCCTCCTTTTTCTGCCTCATCTCTTCTTCCAAGTACTGGCCCCTCCTTAAGTGTGCCCAAAGTATATGAGATAGAGCAGTTTCCCCTACACTTAATTTTATATTATCAGTGCAAATGGGAAAATGATGGAAATGGTAAAACTACCTTAGATAGGTTATGGAAAGTGATTATGAGCTCATGAGCAACTTGTGTCTGAGGGATTTGAAAATTGCTATTTGGATCTTTATAATGATCAGGAAAAGGAAGTTAACTAGTGTTATAATTTGATGTCATCAAGTTGGGTAATACTCCTAGCAACTCTATGTACAACAAAACAAAACCTTGTCCCATCCTGCACATTTTCCATAATCTCTCCTGTGTTTAACTCCATTGCAGCAGGTAATGCTGATCCATCTTACTGAGAGTCTTCCTCTCTTGGTGACCTAAATTCTTAGCTTTGACGCCTTTTTCCAATACTAGCTCTTCCTCACTACATGCCCAAAATAGATGAGATGAGATCTCACCATTTTTGCTTCTAAGGAGTACTCTTCTGCACTTCTTTCAAGACAGAGATACTTGTTCTTTTGGCAGTTCCTGGTGTAGTGAATGCTCTTTGTTAGCACCACATTGAAAGGCATCAGTTTTTCAGTCTTCCGTATTCGTTGTCCAGCTTTCCCACACATATAAAGGATTTGAAAATACCTGATTTCGGTCAAGTACACTTTAGTCTTTTAACTGACATCCTTGCTCATTACCTTTTTGAAGAGATCATTGATAGTAAGTTTCCCAGTACAGTGTATCATTTCATTTCTTGACTTCTGCTTCCATGGACATTAACTGTGTATCTCTCTGTAAAATGAAATTGTTGACAACTTTAAACTTTTCTTCAATCATCTTAATGTAGCTTATTGGTCAAGTTGTGAATATACTTTTTTCTTTACCTCAAAGTAGAATTCCTTGAAGGCTGTGGTCTTTACTCCTCCTCAATAACTGCTTTAAATCTTCATATTCATCAAGCACAATTGTGTCATCTGTATATTGCAGCTTGTTGATGGGTCATTTTCCAGTCCTAATTCTACAGTCTTCCTCATATAGTCCCACTTACTGGATTACTTGATGAGTAAAGAGAAGGAATATCTCTGTCATTGCCATCAAGTCAGAAGTGACTCATAGCTAACCCTCTAATGGGTTTTCTAAATCATACATTAGGTGTTTTTGCCCATCTTTCTCCCATGGAACATCTAGTGTCTTCAAACCACTTGCTTTGGATTAGCAGCACAGCTTCTTACCCTCTAGACCACCAGAACTCCCTAGAGGTTGAACAGATATGTTGATAGATACAGCCCTGACACATGTTGTTGTTGTTGTTATGTGCCGTCGAGTCGTTTCCAACTCATAGCGACCCTATGCACAACAGCCCTAAACCCTGCTCTGTCCTGCGCCAAACGCACCGCCTCTGACACACCCGTCCCGATTACCCGAGTCACCGAATCAATCCATCTCATAGAGGGTCTTCCCCTCCTGCATTGTCCCTCAACCCTCCCAAGCATGATGTCCCTCTCCAAGGACCCGTCCCTCCTGGCAACATGTCCAAAGTATGTCAGACGAAGCCCCAGAATCCTTGCCTCCAAGGAGTAGCTTGGTTTAATCCTCTCCAAGATAAATCTGTTTGTTCTCCTGGCAGTCAGGGGTACATTCAGTACCCTTCTCCAGCACCACAGCTCAAAAGCATCCACTCTCCTTCTGTCCTCCCTAGTCATTGTCCAACTCTGATGCATAACAAGCGATTGCAAATACCATGGCCTGTATCAGGCGCACCTTAGTCTCCAGAGAGACACTGTTGCTCCTGAGTACTTTAGAGAGGTCCCTAACAGCAGACTTTCCCATCGCGATACCCTTTTTGATTTCCTGACTGCTGGTGCCAAGAGTGTTGACTGTGGAGCCGAGCAAACTGAAGCTGTGAACAATCTCAATCTCTTCGTCATCCATCCTGACGCTGCCAATTGGTCCAGTGGTGAGAATCTTTGTCTTCTTGACATTGAGCCTCAGTCCATACTGAAGGCTGCAGTCCTTGACCCTTCGCAGCAAGTGCATGAGGTCCTCCTCAGTTTCAGCAAGCAGGGTTGTGTCATCTGCATAACGGAGATTGTTAATAGACCTTCCACCAATCCTGATGCCACAATTCTCCTCATAGAGCCCAGCCTCTCGGATAATCTGCTCTGCATACATGTTGAAAAGGTATGGAGACAGGATGCATCCCTGGCGTACACCCTTCCCAATTTTGAACCATGCAGTGTTACCCTGCTCTGTTCTGACTACTGCCTCTTGGTCCAAGTATAGGTTTCTTATTAGCACAATTAAATGTTCTGGGATTCCCAATACCAGGTCCTAGTATTAGGGAAGGCTATCTATCTTAGTTCTGAGCAAAAGTCTTTGCCTTGAACTTCTGTTCCAAGACTGACTTCTTGTGGCTTAATGCCTCTTCTCTTTCATTTGTTCCATTGTTTCAATTGTTTCATTGTTGTCACGGAATAGTTTCCCAGGAGAGGGTGATGTGTCCTGTAGATCTGGGATGTAACTGTTGTTTTCTTGGAAAAGTGGGAATACCTGTGTTGTGTGACACTGAGGTGACTTTCCTGTGTGCTCTGCCTCAAAACTATTTAAGCACTCAGGCCTTGACCTGCTGGGCTTTGATTTTAACTATTGTAAATTCTAGGTTATGTTTTGTTCATTAACTGATTTTTTTAGGCATCTTATAGAAAAGCAGCAACAATAAAACCAAAACAAAAACAAAATTAAAAAAATAATTTGAACTAAAGTTTCAGATGTCTCAGAAAGATTTCCTTGATTTTATGCAGATATAAAATTATTAAAGATGTTGTTGTTGTTGTTATGTGCCGTCGAGTTGTTTCCGACTCATAGCGACCCTATGCACAACAGCCCTAAACCCTGCTCTGTCCTGCGCCAAACGCACCGCCTCTGACACACCCATCCCGATTACCCCAGTCCTGTTTTAATTTTAAAACATGCCGTATTCTCTTGTTCTGCTCCACTGCTCCTTGATCTGTGTATAGAGCAATTTACCTTCTGGAATTTCTGTACTTCTAAATTTTATCTGTAAGTTACTGTGATTCACAATTGAATACCTTTGCATAGTTAATAATACCTTAAACATCTTTCTGTTATTCTATGCTTTTTTAGCCAAGATTTATCTGATATCAGCCCTAATACCTCTTGTTCCCTGGCTTATTCTGAATCCAGTTTGAATTTTTAATAGTTCCCTGTTGATGTACCATTCCAGATGTTTTTAATAATTAATAATTGCCAGCAAGATTTTGTATTTGATATTAATAATACTGTTTGACAGTTTCCACATTCTGTTGTATCACCTCTCTCCCTTTTTTATGTTTTGCTTACAAAGTTCTTATACATTGTGTTTCACACTATTCTTCATTCATATTGTATTTCATACAATTACTCGCATGCAGCATATTTTATAAAATGAATCACCACTTGACAAGTTCCAAAGAATTATCTTTTATTTGGAATGGGAACAAGTATGAATCTCTTCCAGTTTGTGGACCAAGTAACTTTCTTCCAAATTTCTTGGCATAGGTGAATGAGTGCACCTGGGGCTGCATCTGTTGAATCACCTAAGTTTTTATTTTTGTCAATTCCTAGAGCCTTATTTTTTGTTAATGTCTTCAATGCAGGTTGGATTTCTTTCATTAGAACCTTGATTCTTTATAATTTGATATTTTTCAAATAGTTCATTATCAACCAGTTCTTTTTGGTACAGTGCTGTATTCCTTCTGTGTTATTCAGTATTTTTCCCGTAGAATCTTTCTATTGCAATTCTTTACACATTTTATTATAAAATTAAAAATATTTGTATTAATTATATAAGAATCTGTCACATTATCTCTCACCTCTTTTCTGTTACCACGACCATAATTGATGACTCTCTATATCTGGTTTGTTTAGAAAAGCTGAACATAAAAACAACAGGAGAGATTTGATTACTGTTTATCATCAGAGTTAAATGAGAATACATTCTTAAAAAAATAGTGCTTATTTACTGAGTTTAAAAATATGCTTAATGGATTCAACTTTAGGAAAGGTGGAGAACAGACAATTTCTGCTTATCATTACTACCCTTTTAAGTAAAGCTTTGTTATTTTAGTTAGTAGCATATTTTCTTACTTTATATCTTTATCATTTCTTTGGTGTCCATTTTCCCTTTGAGTTATGTTTTCAGAGAAATCAGACTTCCCTCACCCCCAGTGTTTCCTAAGACTAGAAAACATAAGTTTTTAGTGTTGAAATTAAGTATCTTTATAATTCCACTACGTTTACTAACCACTTTTGCTAATTTAACAAGTAGTTTTTTTTAGCATCCACTGAACAACATGCCTCTGGAAACTCTATGAACTTTGATAACTGATAATGGTTATAGAAAGGCTTCAGGCCTTTTTTCATAGGCTTGCTATGAGTTGTGCTCTACTCAACGGCAATCAACAACTTTGTACTAGGCATGATTTTAATATGACAGATATAA